GGACATGTTACTGAATCCACACGGGCTTCGGTCTGAAATTACATAAGGCTAAATCCTGAAGACAGTATTTCACTCATTCATTCAATAAGGATTTGCTGAGTCCCTACTATGTTCCAGGATCTCTTTGGATACTTGAGATACATCAGGAACAGATGATAAAATCTCCACCCACGAAGCTTACACTCTATTCACACTGACTCTTTTACCTACAGCATAACAAGAAAATCAGCCTCAACAATTCTATGCTAAGAAAAACTGTAGCTTCTCTGGCCTCATTTAAGAATAAACAAGAAAAATCCAGGCCACATAATGGCCTTTTGTATGACTTTAAATTTCAGGTAGACAAAATTTAGGAAGTCTTTTCGGAAGAAATTTTTAGAAAATCTAGGAATCCAGCTCATGCAAGGCAAGCCCATTAAACGGACCCATGTTAGCTTCCAGAGATGAGTAAGCCTATCAGCTGCTATATCCATCTATGCAACAGTGTGTTCTCTTTGCAGATGGTTTTAAGTAAAACGAAGGAAACGGCTATAAACGATGAGAACTAGAAAGCTAAGAGTCATTCAAAGAAAGAAACCAAAACACACTGTCAAGAGCACTGACACTGTAGTTCATGGAAAGTACAGTTTAGCATCTTATGAATAAACCATTTTGGTTTTCACAGCACTCCTCCATGAAGAGTTCAACGAGAAACATTGCACTCCACGAACAAAGAGTATTGTGGTCTTTGCTTTCAAGGTGCCACTTAGCTTTGAAAGCATGTAGCTAATATTTTGCCTGTAGTATCCAACAGGCAGGTGTAAGAAGAGCAAACATTCCTCAGGTTTTAAAAATAGCAGGATATTATAACTTGGAAGGCAAGCCCTAACATACCAAAAGCCAGAGATCAGTAGACTCTATTTAAAATAGAACTTCCTCAGTGCTGTAGCACCTTCAAACATACCATTGTGCAAAATCAGATTAAATGCTTCCCAGAGATCCTATGATTGTCCCTTCTGCCAAGTGCTTTCCTTTGAACAAAAAAAAAATACAAAAAGACTTAAAGAAAAATAAAAGGTATTTTGCCAAAGGGATCATTCTTACTACCTTATGCTTTAAAAGAAACATATGCTTGTCAAACTGTTACACATCTGATCCTCACAACAATCCTGGGAGACTGGTGGGGTACACAGCATATCATTTCACAGATAAGAAATTAAGACAGTAGGGTTGTCTCATAAGGTTGTGCATGTTGCTCACTGCACAAGGTTTTCCAGTCAAGCAGGCCATTGGGCACCTAGAAGGAGGAGCACGTTTTTCTAACTTGCATAAGTAGCCCCATACACCTCCCACTAGCCCCATTTACTGTGAGCTTCTGGGTGTAGACCACCTAGATGATGCCCCTTTCTAATTTGCTCAAGGGCACAGTATAGGCTGGTGAAAACTGTTTCCCAAGGTCACCTCAAAACTGCTTTTAATGAAGGAAGCACAATGATTGGAATCCAGGTGTACTGACTTCCAGTTCATGGCTTTAAATAACGTAAGGTGGGGACCTCCCTGGCGGTCCAGTGGTTAAGACTCCTCGCTTCTACTGCAGGGGGCACAGGTTCGATCCCTGGTGAGGGAACTAAGATCCCGCATGCCACGCAGCCAAAAAATAAAAAGAGAGAGAGAAAAGAAAAGAAAAATGAATGAATAATGTAAAATAAGGTGAAAATTCTCAGAGCAACTGAATTTACCGACATCCTAGAGACAGTCACATAGCCCCATCCAGGGATCTCTGAAGGACTGCCTTGTGAATAGAAAGAATGCAAGTGTAATGTCCATAGAGATAACACTGTCCCACCCCTAGACCTTTTCTGCAAATGTTCTCCTCCACTTTCCCTAGCCTTACCTTCCAAAATGTCCTCCTCAGTTTTTACTTACTATGTGCCAGGCACTTTGCTAAGTATTGGATAAGAACTCTTCCAGGGCTTCCCTGGTGGCGCAGTGGTTGAGAGTCCGCCTGCCGATACGGGCGACGCGGGTTCGTGGCCCGGTCTGGGAACATCCCACATGCCGCGGAGCTGCTGGGCCCGTGAGCCATGGCCGCTGAGTCTGCGCGTCCGGAGCCTGTGCTCCGCAACGGGAGAGGCCACAACAGTGAAAGGCCCGCGTACCGTCAAAAAAAAAAAGAACTCTTCCAGATCCTAACTGAACCCAGCTAGAGAAGCGACCTCAGCTATAACACATGGCACCTAAAAACTGCCCACCTGAGCCCAGTCAACTCGTAGAAATGTGAGAATTAAAAGCTTTCCATCAAAAGCTTACCATTGGTTTAGGCCACTAAATCACTAGGGTGATCTGTTACACAGCAGATAACCAAAACAATGCATTTTCTCACCCTCGCACCTTCAAAGCTATACCTTAGACCAGGCACAACCGGTCGGAGATGAATAGACCCTGAGAGAAGACTGCAGGCAAAAGGAAACTGAGACTGGATAAAGAGCACACAAAGTAGAGTCTACAGCACTGTATTCCTTCAGTGTTTATCTGAGTGTCTATTATGTGCAAGGCACCACAGCCTGGTGATTCGGGGGTGTGAGCTTGGAGTCAGATGTGTTGAAATCCTGGCTCTCCCACTTGCTAGCTGTGGGAACTTGGAATCTGAACCGCAGTTTCTCCAGACCATGGAATGGAAGTCAATCATAACTACTTCCTGAAGCTGCTGGGAGGAGTAAAAACGATAACGTATGACAGCACTTCCTCCCCCGCCCCGCTGGCCTAGGAAACTCGTCTCACGTTTCAGCCATCACTTCACAAATGTCACTTTCTCGAAGAAGTCTTCCCTAATGCCACCCTCCGGGACTTCACAACACTGTGAACTTTCCCTGTGTAAATACACATCATCAGCTGGAGTTACGTGTTCACTTGTTAATCATTTATTAATGTCAGTCTCACCCACCAGAGACCATCAGCTCCATGAGAAGAGAGTCTGTCTGTGGTGCCCTACACCCAGCGCGGAGCCTGGCACACAAAGTGTCTCTAAACACCTGCTGAATGAAAGAAAAGCATTTAGCCCAGAAGCTTGACACATACCAAGTACTCTCTAAATGAGAGCTTGGCACTGTGCTACGTGCTTCTTCAGGAGTGAGACCTACCCCGAGGAAGGTTAGAGTCTAATGAGGGAAAAGACACATGCAGTAGTAACTACCCAACACTGCAGAAGACGGTCACTGAGGCCCAAAGTGTCCCTCCAGCTCTGACAAGGCAGAGATTGCCTCCTGATGAGGACAATCCAGAAAGGCTTTCCAAAGGGGCAGTGACACTGGAGAATCCACACTCCAAAGTGCCAGCCCTAAAACAAAAATGGGGTGTTGGCTTTTTCTCTTTAGGGCCCAGAAGCCTAGCCTAAGGCAAAGTCTACAGCACATCTGTAATTCATTTATTCATTCATTTATTCATTCATCATTCATCAGATTTGTACTGAGCACCTAGTAGGTACCAGGTACTAAATACAGCAGATAATTAACAATATTAACCAGCTGACACTCCCCCGCCCAAAAGGCCTCCATGGCAACATCATGTTAACCAGGGTCCTACTCACTCCTTTGTGACCTGGGCCCCCAAGTGCATCCTCTAATGGAGGTCAGGTCTTATCACTTAAAAAAATCCATCTCCCGGCTTCCAGGTGGCACACCGGGAGCACTGCCGGTGGCAGCTGTCCAAGGCAAATTACAATTCTTGCAAATCTTCCTCAAGATCGTGAAAGCCGAAAGAAGATCTGATACAACACTCATCTGTGGACAAAAAATGTCACCTGCCATTTCAGTGAACAAACGATGTTGTGGCCATAAGTCCTTCAGCCTCTGCAGCCATCCCCAGCGGTGCACCCTGAGGGGATTCAGGACAGAGAAAAACAGGATACAGGTCCTAGATAGTTAAGGCACTTATCAAAGGAATTTCAATGAGCCCATACTCTTGCATTGTTCCATACACAGAAAAACACTAATTTCATTAACTTGAGATGTCCCGTTTTCTTTAATTAGCAGTAATCTTTGTATGGTCAACTATCCTTTTTTTTGTTTGAACTCCTATATATCCTGGCCCCTCCCTTACCTCCTCAGACCAGCCCCAAGGAGCTATCTCAGAGGCTGTATCCAGGCTTAAGTCCTCAGCAAGTCTGCCCGATAAAACATAATTCTCAACTTTTAGGTTGTGCATCTTTTTTAAGTGGACACATCTTAGATGCAGAAACTGAAGCCTAGAGAGAAAATGACCCTTGACCAAGGTCATCAAGTGAACTAACTAAAGGCAGAACCAGACTAGAAAGAAATTTCCCATTCTACTGTTACGAGCCACAGTCCCAGGAGCAGCCCTTGAGATAAAGAGGGCCACTGAATATTGAGGCTAGAGTGCACAGTTATAGTAGCACAAAGAACAACAATATATTTTAAAGAACTTAGCAAGCATCAGTCACTGTGATAAGCACTTTACGGGAATTATTTCACTTGAATCCTCACAACTCCTGAGTTGTTACTATTATTTTTCCCATTTTACATATTACAAAACTAAGGCATGGGGACTGCCCAAAGTCCCAAGCTGTTAATGAAAGAGAAAGTGGTGAGGTGGTAGATGACGGCTTCAACAGCCTCCACTAGCTTTGAAGGAGTCAATGATGTACTAGAGAGATCGAGAAGCCCTGTGCAGCCTCACCGGGGCTCCAGAACTTGGGTTCCCCGCGACTCTCCCTACAGCTGGGGCAGGGTGTGAACGTGTTGCCGCGCACGGAGCCTTTCCCTCATCCTGGTGGGGGAGCTCTCAAGGAAATCCACCCCCGCCCTCGCCCAGCACATCCCAGAGGCGAAACCCGCAGTTGGAAGGGGAGACCGACCGTGGGTGTGGACCTCCGAGCGGGCAGAGGGGTGCAGAGTGGAGGTGAGGGGAGCTGCGGGGGCCCGCTGCCCGGAGCGCATACCGCTGGGCCACCGGGGCAGCGCGTGAGAATGCGAGCCCCGGCCGAGACGGAGCGGGGGGAATACCTTTCGGAGGAAGCTGGCTACCACCTGCTCGAAGGGGTACTTGAACACCTCGTGCACGTCCACGGTGACCCCCATTCCGGCGCGCCTGCCACGCCTCCGCGAGCACACTGCTGCTGGAGCTCTGTATGTGCCGGGCCGCAGGCGTCCGCGCCAGGGTAGCCGAAGGGGCGTGGGAGGTTTTTTCTCCTCCTTCTTCAAACTTTCTAAACTTTATTGTCCAGAGAACCAGACAGTCGGTCACGCCCCCGCCCCCTTCCGCCAGCGTCCCGTCGGGCGGCGGGCGCGGGAGATGCCGGGGCCCCTGGCGGTGTCGGCTGGAGGCGCCTGGAGCAGCCCGGCCCCGGCCCCGCCCTTCCCCGCGCCGGTCACGCCTCGTCCTGGCCACGCCACGCCCCCGACCACGCCTATGGACCCAAGTATACGCCCGGGAGCCGCGGCACAGTTCCTTGGAGGCTTGGACCTTGCCACTGGGGCTTTTGTCATCACCTCTCCTGGAGCCTTAAGCCGCTATGGGCAGCACTAAAAAACAGTAATAATAAATACATAAACTACCCTCCCTCCAAGTTTAGGGATTGTAATATAACCCCCCTCGTGTTGCCGAGTCCTGTGTGACAAAGACCAACAACCGCATTACTCACACTACCCGGGCAGCTGCCTCTGAGGCTTTAGGTTGCATCTCAGGTACTTAAAAATTGCCTGTATCTGCATCTGACTCCGTAAGGAAATCCTACGCTCATGAAAGGTTAAACACCATGGAGCAAGCAAGTGAATCCATTAATCCAATAATTTATCCAACATGTTACTTCCTGAGCACCTACTATGTGCCAAGCACTGTGGTAGGCACTGGATTCCGCAGTAAGGAAAGCACAGTGCCTGCTGTCAGATGATTTAACACCCAATTAACAAAATAGAAAAAGAAGCAGGATAATAGGTCAAAGTTACAGGTGGCATGATTTTAGCTCGGATAAATAAGGGAGGTCTTTGAGGTGGTGGCCTTTTCATTTATAATTTTATAATCTCGCTTACACATAGTCATACTGGACTGGCAAAACCCTAGCCGTGGATAAATCCAGCTCTCCACTTACTCACTGCCTCACCCAAGCCACTGAAAGGGCCTGGAGGAAAACTATACACCCAGGCCTCTCTTTAGATTCATAACCACCAAACTCAAGGGGCCTTTTTAATGGTGCTTAGACAAAAACACTGCATTTCTCTAACCCACTTACTGTCCCAGGCTCCTCTCTCTTCAAACCTCCAACACCTCCCTCCCCAGCCTTATTCTCAGGTGATTACCTTGTTTCCTTTTTCCCTTAGTAAATAGGAAACATCTCTCTACCACACCTATCTACCCACCTGTCCAAATGCCCTGCCTTCTCTCCTGTTCTTGTGGACAAACTGTTGCCACTTAGCTGAGGGCCAATCTCTCCACTTATCCACCAAATCCAGGCATGGGCTGCAGATGGTTAACAAACAGCTCTCCTTTAAAAAACTAACCAAAACAAGGCCCTGATGTCTAATGGCTGCAATTTTTGTGGTGTAAATACTCCCACCACGGCCAATTTGAAATGACCAGCATGGTGTCATTTCCACCACCCACTCACGATAGACATAACTGCAAGAACACAGACCATGGTAAAGGTAGTAATGAAGTTAGGAAGGGAAGCTTTTTGGATATCTATTACCTTTTAAAATATTGTTTATTTAATAGTAAATTTATATAATTTAATATTGAATTACAGTTGTGTTTAACAACCAGCTGATGAGGTTCAGAACACAGTATCCCAAAACATGCACCTTAGCATATAGGATATTTTAAGCTGAAGGAGTCTGAGAAAACAGCAGAAGCAGGAAGATCTCTCTGGCTGTCCCCCACCCTTCTCCCCTGAAGCAGGTCAGACCCTCTTCTAACAGGTGCCCCTCTATACCCGGAGGAAAGAAGCATCTCCAGGATGAAGGATCACCAGGAAGAATCCGAACAAACAGGCCTTGCCAAGTTTCCCCCAGTTTGCTATACTTACCTCGTACCCTTTGTCCTATCATACTTCTCCACAACTGCCCACTCTTTATCAAACCTAGAATAAAAACACTTAGGTTTAACCATTTCTTCAGGTCTTCATTTCCTGATGAAGGCTCCCATGTCACTTATAAAACTTACAGTAAGTAAATGTGTATGCTTTTCTCCTGTCAATCTGTCTTTGTCAGTTTAGTTTTCACATCTAGCCAGGGACCCTAAGAGGGTCAAGGAAAACTTTTTCCTCCCCTACACAGCTCTACCACATCCGTAAAAGTTCTTTGTCCTCTTTCTGGTTCAAGGACATCTCAAGCCATAACCACTCCCTCTTTTTTGAATCATCAGTTTTGCCTCTACTGGATCATTACAACCGGCATACAAGTACACTGTGATTTCTTCCATCTTAAAAAAAAATCTACTCTTAACCCCATATCTTCTTCTAGCTCTATTTCAACTCTCTGCTCCATTTTTTTCCTAAAATCTCTTGAACCCATTCCAGCCAGTTCAGGCCCCTGGCACTCCACCGAACTTACTGCTGTCAGGGTCACCAAGGACCAAATTGCTAAACCCAGTAGTTAATTCTTAATCCCCACCTTACTAAACCTATGGGCTGCATTACCTTGAAATACTGAATGAGAAGTGGGGTGGAGAGTTAGGCACCAAAGCCATTACATGTTGAATGTATGTATAAAGCAACTCTACTATATCACCAACCCATCCTTACAGGAAAAGAACAAACACCAATGTCCCTGGGGAATTACACAGGCCTACAAAGGAGAGATAATTTACTTGTGGAGTTGATGGTGTCTCTAATCTGCCTCTGCAACCAGACAGCAGCTGGATACTGGGTGTGAAAGAGAAGCTCCTACCAGACTGGACCCTGTGCCCACGCTCCACCCGGACCACCGATTTCTTCCAGAATGTATCCTTGGACAGCTGCTCACCCACTCCTGATTAACCAGCCACAAAAGGCCAAGGTTGTGTCCTGAAAGATTAAAGGACCCAGCACCTGTTGGCTCTACTTGGGCTGGCTGGCCAACTGCCTTGTGTAAGAACAAACACTACCTGCCCGTTCCAAGGACATCAGAGCACTCTAAAGCTGAAAAGAGGTGCCAGGCTTGACAAGGGAGGCCACCTCCAAGCAGTCTTGTGGCTCAGAATCACAGCCAGTTTGCACAACTTACTCACTGTGTCCCAAGGAAGAGAAAGGGGCTGTGAAACAAATTTCCTTTGCTTTGAAATTGAGTGGCTTAACCAGTCAGGGACTTGAGTTTGGAAATTTGGGGGCCAACCTCACAAGTTCATGACCTTATTTGACCTTTAAGATACCAGACTCATCTTTGTATCTTCAAGGCAAGGCCCAGTAGAAGAACATCCAATACATTTGGGTGGAAAGAATGGATGATTGGCCCTTTATAAATACTGTGAGATTTAAGTGGATGGAGAGCTTCAGCCCTGACCTTCTCTCCTTGCCCTCTCACCTCTGTGCCGTTCTCACCCTCTTCATACTGACCGTCTCTCTCTCACTGATCTTTTTTTTTTTAATAGGGTTTTGTTTTTTGTTTTTTGTTTTTTGTTTTTTTGTGGTATGCGGGCCTCTCACTGTTGTGGCCTCTCCCATTGCGGAGCACACGCTCCGGATGCACAGGCTCAGCGGCCATGGCTCACGGGCCCAGCCGCTCTCCGGCATGTGGGATCTTCCCGGACCGGGGCAGGAACCCGTGTCCCCTGCATCGGCAGGCGGACTCTCAACCACTGCGCCACCAGGGAAGCCCTCACCGATCTTTTTTATCCAGTCTTGTAATTGTCTGTTTATATGAATTCTCCATTGAACTGTGAGGTTGTCCAGACTGGAAAGAACTGTGTCTTATTCACTCTTCCCTATTCAGTGCTGAGTAGGAAAAACCTCAGTCCGCCTCTTGTGTTTCTTTTATTCTCACATAACTACCACACTCACACTTCTGACACTAGATGCGTAGGGGTTTCCCTCACATCAGGCAATTCTGTGACACCTGGGTGTCACACTGGGTGTCCTCCAATTTAACACAATTCTGACACGATCTATCTGGAGATAGCTTCAGACCCCAAGGATAAGGGCTCACTCCCACAAGACTGCCCCTCCCTCCAGATGTCAAGCCCATGTCAAGGTGATTACCTGATGGGCTATAAATCAGAGGTTCCCATGGTTCAATTAATTTGCTAGAGCAGCTTCCAGAACTCAGGGAAACAGTTTACTTACTGTTTACCGGTTTATTATAAAAGGATATGACAAAGGTTAGAGATGAACATCCAGATGGAAGAGTTGCATAGGACTAGGTAGGAAGGGGCATCGAGCTTCCATTCCCTCTCCGGCCATCCCACTCCCCCAGCACTTCCACATGTTCAGCAACCTGGAAGCTCTCCAAGCCCCATACTTTGGGGATTTTTATGAAGGCTTCATCACACATAGGCAGGATCAATCATTAACTCCACTTCCAGCCCATTTCCTGTCTCTGGAGCATGGGGGATGCGGCTGAAAATTCCAAGTTTCTAATCCTGGTTTGGTCTTTCTGGTGATCAGCCTCCATTCAGCAGCCTAGCCAGAGTTGCCTCATTAGAACAAAAGACACTCCTATCACCCAGAAATTTCCAGGGGATTTAGGAGCTTGGTGTCAGGAACAGAGTCAAAGACCAAATATTAGAAAAAAATATGCTCCTAGTGCTTTTATCACTTAGGATATGACAAGGGTTTTAGGAGCTCTGTGCCAGGAGGAGTTTAAGAGGTGGGAGAGGGGAGTGAAGGGGGGAGGGGGGCAGAGACCAATATATATTTTTTCTATTATTCTACAAGTGCCTAGCACATAGTATATATTGAATAAATTCATGAATGTACTTAACATAGAACATGACCTTGAGCGAGTTCCTTCCCGCCCCTGCACCTCAGTTTCACTATCAACAAAATGACCACATGGGCCAATTTTATCTCTAAATTCCCTTCTAGCTCCCTGAGATTTCAGATATGGACAAGAGACTCAGGGCAGGCAACATGGATACAAGGGCACAAAGCAGAAATCTGCAGGGAAAACAAGGCAAAATCTCAGAACAAGTTCACAATGTCAGGGTAAGTTAGACCCATGGCATCATTGAACCAGACTTCTCTTCCCCCCATTGACTAAGGATGACACTGAGGAGACAGAGTGTATTGTCAGGTCACTCAGAATAGCGGTT